TATGATTGATTTCACCCCCTTCCATTTATATTAGTGCCACCTTATGATGGATTTCACCCTATAAACACCTTTTTTATTCCATAGAATCATACCTCAGGTTGCTTCTTGGCAACTTTCTCCAGGAACATATAATAATAACTTTTAATACTAGTATCACCACAATCAGCAAACTTAGAAAATAATTCCTGAAAATGTTTCTTTATTGGCTCAGGGTTAAAATCGTAAGCACCGTCCACGGCACCTGAAAATATTTGATAATGAAATACTTATAGATAATTATTAACATGATCTGTTGATTTGGATGTTGAAACTCAAGTCTCATAAAAACTTTACGTCTGATACAAACTTTAAATTCCTGACTGTAATAAAACAAAGGCCCTGAGTAGTAACCATCCAAAAAGCATGACATAATTTTACTGTTTTCACCTGCCCCCCCTCATAGTCCCGAAGACATGTTTTTCGGGCAAAAATCTCATAACTAGGTTAGAAATTTGGACAACCTCAGATATCTCGCCCCACCTCGGATGTAATCCTGACTCTGTCGCTGTTTCCCGCCCTTTCACTGTTTCCCGCCCTTTCACTGTTTCCCGCCCTTTCCTTGCCCAGACTTCTGATATACATTATATCTTACTTACACATCAGATTATGGCTTTCCAGTTCCAGTAATTTTACTATCAGTTTATCAAGTTCCGGAGCGAAAGGTTTGGCTGATTTCTGGGCGACGTAAAAAATGGCATTTTGTCCCATGTCTACGATAGAATCTTCATCACTGTCCAGAAAGTTAAAAAAATGTGGAATAACAGGCTCGATTCTCTCTAATTCTTTACCAGCATCTAACTGAAAATAGGAAAAAAAACTCTTATTTGCTCACTATTACAAAAACTGCTATTGAACCTTAAACAAACGCTCAGTTTAAGTGGAATTGAAAAAACAACAGACGTCTGAAAATTAGAATGATGCAAATAGATGCTATAAATGTCCCCAATACACATAAAAAACCTGAAAACCTATTTACAATCTTTTAAATATATGTGACAAACAGGGGCCTGAGCTGCTTTGGCTCAGTGAGTTAGATGCTTGCTTGTTAACTTGAAGGACCAGAGTTCAGAGATTATATATTTGGATTTTACGACTAGGTTTCTCCTTGTCAGTGATGCAGGTTGGAAATATGCCGCAGGGGCTGTCATGTAAAAAGGTCTAGTCAAAGGAGTGAGACAATAAACCAGGGCCTTTTGTTTTACAGGCTGTGCACATTAAAGATCATACCTGGTAATTGGAAAGCGAAAAAGAGTAGACTAATGCTGCTGTCCTGGCATTGCCCGTCTTCATTAGCCCAATTAGGTACAGAATAATAGGATGTAAAACTCCATTCATTATATTTCACTTCAGATCTAAATATCAACTTACCAGGTCTAATAATTTATACACCAGAAGATGAGCAACAAAATAAAAAACATTGCCAGGCTCTTGTGTATAATAATTTAAAAAATCTTTATCTATTACACTCATCATTAAATCTATTAAAACTGTTCTATCATCACTGGTTAATTTCTTTCCTTGATTCCTGAAACATTTCAATATTAGACAATAGAAAATAATAGTTTTACTGAAAAAAAGTCATTTGATTAAATAGTCTCCCACCCTAGCTATCACTAGTTGTGTATAAGTAGAGGTTATTAGTTTCAAAGTCAACTCTCATGTAACTGAGTTGTGAATTGTGTTCAAAACTCATGACCACTTTTATTATTCACAACTATATACAACTAGTCATTGGTATGGTGTAAGGGCCCCTTGATTGTCAGTATGATTCATAGACACAGTTTTATGGATCATTTTTTTTAATAAATGATTGTTCCTCATTATTCCAGTCGACCAGTCTACCAAGCTGTTAAATCTGAAAAAAATCAATGCTAAGAGATTTAGTCAAGGACCAGCATGTGGCCTCTATTGTTCTTCTTGTAAAAACACTGGTTGTTTCTTTCTTTTCTCTTCGTCTCAGATCTATCAAACTCTAATCCCCTTAGCCACAGCTGCCCCTTCTCTTGAAAGCAACCTCACCCCCAAAAAAATATAAACAGGGGAGATGAGAAGTTGCTGCTAGTGTAAAGAACTTACTCTAAAGCCTCAATAGAAGGGTTAACAATATTATTAGCTATAGTGGTAGCATCAGTAGCATCAGGATCATTCCAGGGAAAATCAGGATCAGTAAATAAAACAATAAACCTTTTTAAACTCTTAAATATCAGATCTTTGTTTATCTGAAAAAATAAAAAATATAGAAAGATCCAAAAAAAACCAAACAGGAGTACAGGTGAGTGAATAGCCTTATTTCATGACAATTCCTGATTTTCTACAGAGATTTTCTAGCCTTTATATTATAATCAGAGAGAAAACTAGCTTCAATTTGAATGAGTTTTGTTATGACGTCATAATGTAGTCAAGTTTTCATGGATTTACTGGAAGCACCAACTGGACAGAAATCAAAATGGTGAAAAGAAGCTAAGACAACTCTGTTAGCTAAGTCGATTGTCTGATCATTGTACTTTGCCAGTGCTTTCATTGAGACTCACCTCAATACACCCTATTACAAACTCTCTAAACTTACTTTAATATTAAATGTACATCTTTCTGCCACTTCAGAACCAAGTTTAAACAACAGAATATTTCTCGATTCTAGACATCCGATAGAAAATTCCACCATACTGTCGTTTAAATCACCTAGAGCTTTACATTTCCTAGAAATATATTTCATTGCAAAATAGAGCTTTACATTTCCTATAAAAAAAATAACCTAGAGCTTTACATTTCCTAGAAATATAACCTAGAGCTTTACATTTCCTAGAAATATAACCTAGAGCTTTACATTTCCTAGAAATATAACCTAGAGCTTTACATTTCCTAGAAATATAACCTAGAGCTTTACATTCCCTAGAAATCTATTTCATTGCAAAATAGAGCTTAACACTTCCTAGAAATATAACCTAGAGCTTTACATTTCCTAGAAATATAACCTAGAGCTTTACATTTCCTATTAAAAAAAAATAACCTAGAGCTTTACATTTCCTACAATAATAATATAGAGCTTTACATTTCCTACAAAAATAATCCAGAGCTTTAGATTTCCTACACAAATAATCTAGAGCTTTACATTTCCTACAATAATTTAGATTTCCTTCAAAATATAGAGCTTTACATTTCCTACAATAATAATATAGAGCTTTACATTTCCCAAAAAAATAATATAGAGCTTTACATTTCCTACAAAAATAATACAGAGCTTTACATTTCCTACAAAAATAATACAGAGCTTTACATTTCCTACAATAATAATATAGAGCTTTACATTTCCTACAAAAATAATATAGAGCTTTACATTTCCTACAAAAATAATCTAGAGCTTTACATTTCCTACTTTACATTTCCTACAAAAATAATCCGAAGCTTTACATTTCCTACAAAAAATAACCTAGAGCTTTACATTTCCCAAAAAAATAATCCAGAGCTTTACATTTCCTACAAAAATAATCTAGAGCTTTACATTTCCTACAATAATAATCTAGAGCTTTACATTTCCTACAATAGTAATATAGAGCTTTACATTACCTACAAAAATAATCTAGAGCTTTACATTTCCTACAAAAATAATCCAGAGCTTTACATTTCCTACAATAATAATATAGAGCTTTATATTTCCTACAATAATAATCTAGAGCTTTACATTTCCTACAATAATAATCTAGAGCTTTACATTTCCTACAATAATAATCTAGAGCTTTACATTTCCTACAAAAATAATCTAGAGCTTTACATTTCCTACAATAATAATATAGAGCTTTACATTTCCTACAATAATAATCTAGAGCTTTACATTTTCCTACAAAAATAATCTAGAGCTTTACATTTCCTACAATAATAATATAGAGCTTTACATTTCCTACAAAAATAATCTAGAGCTTTACATTTCCTACAATAATAATATAGAACTTTACATTTCATACAAAAATAATCTAGAGCTTTACATTTCCTACAAAAATAATCTAGAGCTTTACATTTCCTACAAAAATAATCTAGAGCTTTACATTTCCTACAATAATAATATAGAACTTTACATTTCCTACAAAAATAACCTAGAGATTTACATTTCCTACAAAAATAATCTAGAGCTTTATATTTCCTACAATAATAATCTAGAGCTTTACATTTCCTACAATAATAATATAGAGCTTTAAATTACCTACAAAAATAATACAGAGCTTTACATTTCCTACAATAATAATCTAGAGCTTTACATTTTCTACAAAAATAATCTAGAGCTTTACATTTCCTACAAAAATAATCCAGAGCTTTACATTTTCTACAATAATAATATAGAGCTTTACATTTCCTACAAAAATAATATAGAGCTTTACATTTCCTACAATAATAATATAGAGCTTTACATTTCCTACAATAATAATCTAGAGCTTTACATTTCCTAAAATTATACTTCATTGAAAAATAGAGTTTTATTTTATTTTAAGACAAAGATGGACATTAGTCTTATATGCTAAAAATTGTCAAGGAATGTGTCACATACACAGTCTGTAGAAATCGGGATTTCAAATCCCATTTTAACAACGAGATGTTTTCTGGTCTGCATTATTGTTAAAGTAGATACTTCCAATACTTTGATCAATTTTAGTGATTGACCAGATGACTCACTAAACTCAAGTCATCTGACTATAAGTTTCTGAGACCAGGCCCCAGAAGCTGAAAAAACTCAGCACCTTTTACATTAAATGATGGAAAAACACCTACTTGAGTTGTTCCAGGAAAATTTCTGTAAAATTGACTAATTCTTTCATTACTTCCTCATCTGTTACCTTGATACTTGATATAGTCTTAAAAACATCTTTCACTTGTAGAATATGGTCCTAGAAATATTCAAAAATATTATTTATCAAAAAATATATCAAACAGGTTTGACTCCCAAAACTGAAACTAAGAGTGACATCAGATGTTTCAGAAACTGAAGCTGAGGAAATCATGACTTGCCTTGTTAAAATCAACTATGGAATTAAATTTTCGATTTGGGCCATGTTATCCTTATAGCTGAAATGTAATTTTAACTTGTAAAACATCTTCACAATATCAAGCTATTATCAACTGAGTCTAATACATTGACTGCAATAGTCATCTTTCTTGTATCTTAGAAGTTTGTGAATGTGGCGATCTGATTGGATTATATGTTAGCTAATGTAGCCCAACATAGCCTTCAACATAAAAACTGTAAACAATTTGGCTGTCTGTGTATTCAGGGACCATGATTGGCTGTATTGGCTAGCGTACTATTCAATCAAATCACTGCAGTTATTTATTTCTGTGATAAAGATGAAAGTAAAATAAACAGGTGCTAGTTCACTGATTGGTCAATATTCACTTACCAGCCATTTAAAAGCCTTTTCTTTCTCACGTAGAATTCTATACGCTGCGTCAGCACAGTTTTTAGTTGGATATTTTATCATTAAACTAATTAATTCTACTGCTAGCTTGGCGTGATCTTTAGAGCTACAATTTATAAAAATACATTTTCACAATAAATATAATTAATTCTACTGCTAGCTTGGCGTGATTTTTAGAGCTACAATTTATAAAAATACATTTTCACAATAAATATAATTAATTCTACTGCTAGCTTGGCGTGATTTTTAGAGCTACAATTCATAAAAATACATTTTCACAATAAATATAATTAATTCTACTGCTAGCTTGGCGTGATCTTTAGAGCTGCAATTTATAAAAATACATTTTCACAATAAATATAATTAATTTTACTGCTAGCTTGGCGTGATCTTTAGAGCTACAATTTATAAAAATACATTTTCACAATAAATATAATTAATTCTACTGCTAGCTTGGCGTGATCTTTAGAGCTACAATTTATAAAAATACATTTTCACAATAAATATAATTAATTCTACTGCTAGCTTGGCGTGATCTTTAGAGCTACAATTTATAAAAATACATTTTCACAATAAATATACTTAATTCTACTGCTAGCTTGGCGTGATCTTTAGAGCTACAATTTATAAAAATACATTTTCACAATAAATATAATTAATTCTACTGCTAGCTTGGCGTGATCCTTAGAGCTACAATTTATAAAAATACATTTTCACAATAAATATAATTAATTCTACTGCTAGCTTGGCGTGATCCTTAGAGCTACAATTTATAAAAATACATTTTCACAATAAATATAATTAATTCTACTGCTAGCTTGGCGTGATTTTTAGAGCTACAATTTATAAAAATACATTTTCACAATAAATATAATTAATTCTACTGCTAGCTTGGCGTGATCCTTAGAGCTACAATTTATAAAAATACATTTTCTTACAAATTTTGACTATGATTGTTTCCTTAATTTACTTTCGCTATCATTTTGTCAAAACAGAGATAAATGAATTGTCCTGATGAGGATTTTATATCTGAAACATGTCCCCAGATCAGATGAGCTCTAGCCAAAGCAGGGCTGTAAAAGATCTGGCCACGTATTCTCGAAACGATCTTAGAGCTATGATATCCTAGGTTCTTATCTTCTAACATTGATTCTAGGATGTCCTAGGTTCTTATCTTCTAACATTGATTCTAGGATATCCTAGGTTCTTATCTTCTAACATTGATTCTAGGATATCCTAGGTTCTTATCTTCTAACATTGATTCTATGATATCCTAGGTTCTTATCTTCTAACATTGATTTAAGGATATCCTACGTTCTTATCTTCTAACATTGATTCTAGGATATCCTAGGTTCTTATCTTCTAACATTGATTCTAGGACATCCTAGGTTCTTATCTTCTAACATTGATTCTAGGATGTCCTAGGTTCTTATCTTCTAACATTAATTCTAGGATATCCTAGGTTCTTATCTTCTAACTTGATTCTAGGATATCCTACGTTCTTATCTTCTAACATCGATTCTAGGATGTCCTAGGTTCTTATCTTCTAACATTAATTCTAGGATGTCCTAGGTTCTTATCTTCTAACTTGATTCTAGGATATCCTACGTTCTTATCTTCTAACATTGATTCTAGGATGTCCTAGGTTCTTATCTTCTAACATTAATTCTAGAATGTCCTAGGTTCTTATCTTCTAACATTGATTCTAGGATATCCTACGTTCTTATCTTCTAACATTAATTCTAGGATGTCCTAGGTTCTTATCTTCTAACATTGATTCTAGGATATCCTAGCCCTAAGATCGTTTGAGAATACGTGGCCTGTTTTCAGTAAACTTTGTACGGTAACCACCTTTATTGTAGAGATCAAATAATAGATATAGCAGATATTCATATTGTTAAATTTTTAAACAAAATTTCTTTTGTGTCTAATTTGTCTTGATGTAGTCACAGCCCTGCAAGGAGAAGGTGATAAAATATAATTCAACTTACTTATTCATACATTTGACGAGAATTTCTGAGACCAAGGCATCTATTAATTTAACTTCTAGAAATTCTTGAGGTGGTGATGATTTCAATAACTCTATCATTCTATTACAAGTCTTCGGAAACAGTTTATCATTTTTCTATAAAAAAAAACATAAAATATATTACTAAACACCTAGATTTCTAGATACTACCTGATAGTTAGCTTATTTCATATAATAGTAAGTGTTCACAACTGAACCAACGCAAATTTCACTTACACGGAATGCAACAAGGTTTTTTACTTTCTTTATTCTTATCAGGGACAATGATGTCATTTAATTTTCAATCAGACATCTGTGGTTCCTGCAATTCCACTAAAACTAAGTGTTTGATAACTTCACTAATTGCAAAATATGCTATATTCACATAAGGTCCTTCATGATAAGTGATGTCATAATACCCTTAGTTTTAATAGAATAGCAGGAACCACAGACGTCTGATTGAAAATTAGAATGGGGCAAATTGATACTATCAGTGTCCCCGATATACATAAAAAATTTAAGAAAACCTCTTTACAATCTCTTTAACAAGAACCACAGACGTCTGATTGAAAATTAGAATGGGGCAAATTGATACTATCAGTGTCCCCGATACACATAAAAAATTTAAGAAAACCTCTTTACAATCTCTTTAACAAGAACCACAGACGTCTGATTGAAAATTAGAATGGGGCAAATTGATACTATCAGTGTCCCCGATACACATAAAAAATTTAAGAAAACCTCTTTACAATCTCTTTAACAAGAACCACAGACGTCTGATTGAAAATTAGAATGGGGCAAATTGATACTATCAGTGTCCCCGATACACATAAAAAATTTAAGAAAACCTCTTTACAATCTCTTTAACAAGAACCACAGACGTCTGATTGAAAATTAGAATGGGGCAAATTGATACTATCAGTGTCCCCGATACACATAAAAAATTTAAGAAAACCTCTTTACAATCTCTTTAACAAGAACCACAGACGTCTGATTGAAAATTAGAATGGGGCAAATTGATACTATCAGTGTCCCCGATACACATAAAAAATTTAAGAAAACCTCTTTACAATCTCTTTAACAAGAACCACAGACGTCTGATTGAAAATTAGAATGGGGCAAATTGATACTATCAGTGTCCCCGATACACATAAAAAATTTAAGAAAACCTCTTTACAATCCGAGAAATTAAAACGTACCAAAATTTTATTTTTCTCCTCATCAACATGATAAAAATAATATCCAATTTCGTCAACTATTTTCTTGACATTGTCATCAGGTTTCTTACGTACTAATACCATGACAAAATCCATTAATTTATCATAACACGCTTCAAAATTACCAGTTCCTCTAAAAAATACATTATAAACATTTTAAATGATAAAACAAACATAGTTTAGACTATCAGGTTTGACAAACATTAAAAGGATTATAAAGAGGTTTTCTAAATTTTTTATGTGTATTTTGCCCCTTTCCAATTTTCAATCAGACGTGTGTGGTTCCTGCAATTCCACTAAAACTAAGTTGTTGATGACATCACTAATTGAGACGGGTCTTTGTGAAGCATCAACTTAGTTTTAGAGAAATAGCAGGAACCGGACGTCTTATTCAGCTATGTGGACTCTCTGAAAGGAATGCCAAGTTGACCAATCTTCTGAAAGGGATGTTG